TGTCCGAAAGTTTAGCGTCAGTGGGTAGGTTTTAATCCCTTCATTCAATACTCGCATGGGGGAGTACCCCCCCTAAGGAGTTCAAGCGAGCGGAGCGCGCCCGTTCTCGCGGTGGGGTCTAGGGATGTGGAAACACGTCGTATGCCTGACTGGAAGGTGTTAGCTGTTACATGGCATACAATGCACATGGATGATGGCGTTTCCTCAACTGACGATAAGAAGACACTGAGACAATACGGCGGGAGACTTCCCTAACGCACGAAGCACTGCCAGATAGCCGAGCCCCGAGTATCAAGGGTTAAACCCAACCCATCGTACTCTCAACTCCTATCTGCGTAAGCACTCCCTGCAGGCCTGATGGAAAATCTTATTCCGCTGATGCACACACGAAGAATTGTATCGCTTCTACGTTGGACATGGTGTAGCGTAGCACGGTCACCCTGGGTATGCTCGGTTTTGGAATCTGAAGTTTTGCTATTGCGTCACCCCCAATCATGCCGCAATGCAGGGCAAGGACTACGCCTTCCACAAGTCCGTGTCGAAGAACTTGTGGAAAGAGACTATCTTCAAGCCCGCCGCAGAGGAGCTGAAGAATCACGCCGCATATGTCGCAAAGGTTGGAACCGCTCACATCGACGAACTCTTCCTCTCGGCTTTCGGAATGAGGAAGGGAGTAGGGTGGTTCCGTAGCCAGCGGAAGCAGGCCTCTCAGTACGTCAAGGACCACGGACAGTCGGGGTCGAAAGGGGGGAAGACCGAGAAGCTGAAGGTCATCATGCGACAAGAGTTGTACAGCAACCACCCGGCCGTGACGAAGGCAGGGATGCGAGAGTCTTTCGGAGGATTAGAGACCGACTCGGACGATGAAGACGACGACGACAGCGAGAGCGAGGGAGGCGAAGGCGGGGAGGTCGAAGACGCACCTTTGAACCAGGAGTTGTGGGGTGACCTCTCGAGGCACACGGAGGACCGGGGAGACAGTGCGGCGAACCTGACTGCGATGGAAGAGGGAGATGACTGCAGTGCGCTGGAAGATGAAGCGGAGGATGATCCACCTGCCGACTTCGGCGACGCCGGTGGAGACTGTGGCCAAGACGGAGACAGTCCGCCCGAGGGCGACGGCAGCAACGATCAGGGGGGCGCTGCGGGAGGGGTTCTTCCGCCTCCCGCTGCCAGGGTGCCAGCCGACCAACCCATCCGTAGGCGCCCGGTGGGGTCGGGGGGTGGTATATCTACGGACGGAACCCCCCTGCCTCGTGGTTCGGGCGGGGGGGGGTCCTCGCGCGGTGCTCCATCACGGTCGACCGCCCGCCCTCGTCACGTGCCCAGAGGAACTCACGGCGCCCTTGATGAGGAAATGGAGATGGGGACGAGCGGACTGCCGCCTGGGCCCGCGGCAAAGGGAAGGAGGAAATCAAGCTGGAACCCTCCGGGAGTGTCGGTAGAGGAGTACATGGCTAACACGGGCCATCTAGGCCAGCAGAAGCTGGCGCTGATGCAGCAGTTGGTGGCCGCACAGGGGGGGGAGGGAGGCCGATAGAGACCTCGAAGAGAGGAAGCTTGCGCAGAGGCAGGCCGAACACAGAGAGAGTTTGAGGTCTAGAGATCTCGAACAACTCAGGCATCTCCAGCAGTCTGGGGTACTATCTTCCAATGCGTACAGGTCGGCAGTTTTTCAGGGCCTTAGCAAAGAAACCCAAGAGGCTATCGAGAAAGCGGAGAGGGAAGATAAAGAGAAAGCGGAGAGGGAAGCGGAAGAGCTGGGTAGGATTTGACTCCACATGTACGTGAACGTCCACTATCTTCTTGAGTGTGTTTGTGTTGTTTCATTCCTGTTTTGTTTGTGTTTCGTGACATGTGTGCTCGTATTTTAAATGTGTTGTGTATGTAGACCCATGCCCATCTTGCCAGGCAGATGCCGTATGGTGTCACCTGGAGTACTTCGCGTGGAGTTTTGGAGATGTCAACAACGCGGGCGAGCTTTCGTTGGGGAATGCTTAGTGTTTCTACATTCTACCGGAGACAGGGGTGTACCGACGCGAGTCGGCACCCTTTCAGGCCTCTTATTCGTGTAAGCGGACGATACTTGGCATGCTTAGACTACTTGCATGCATGTGTTTTAGCAATAGAAGAGCACGTCTTAGATCCAGCGTTGCATTTCCTTTTCACGTGTGGTCTTGTCGGTCGAGTAGTCCTGCATGGTTATGGTGTTGAGTCTTCCTTCTTGGTTTTTTGTTGTGTTGAACAGGGAGGAATGTTGCTTATGATGCCGTGCATCTTCGGTTTTAGCGGTTGACTGATTCGCGTTCTGTGTTGGCGGATCACGTAGCGACCCTTTCTAAGAACGGTACATTATTTTGTCGCGAGGCGTGGTTCGTGTTACCCCAGCGGGAACGAGCTTGCTGTTTGGCGGTGGCCGTGTTCCAAAATGTCGGGGTGAACGTGTTTGCAGAAGTGTAGTTTACTGCGCAGGCAACGTAAGAATTGTCGGGGGCAACTAATCTAAATAGGTGGTGGGTGTTTTGATCGTGTGCATTTCCGCTTTTGCTGGCGGCACCGGCTTTCGATGTGGGGGTTATTAGGCCACGCGTTTGCGGTATTATAGTCCGGGTATCTCGGCGGTAGCTATTTTATGCTGGTGCTACGTTACACGATCATGGGGCAGGTATGTCTAAGGCGTAGACTAAATCTATGGCATTTTCTCGAAACTGTGCTAGTTGCCATGCTGTTTGTGTTGGAGTATCCGGAAAATATGGCGTACTGCGGGGCCCCCTCGGGCGACAGGAGTCGCACATGTATGTGACAGCTCTGTGCAATTCTTGTGTTCACGGAGCCTGAGCGTGCCAGAGACAGAGAGAGTAGCGCATACACGAACGAGCAAGGTGGAGGCATCAAAGGCTAAGGCTTCTACGATATAGTAATGTGCCAGCCTCAGGAGCTGACAACAAGCGGAGTCTTTTACCCACCCACCCACCCCTTTTGTATTTCGAAGATGGGGAAGCGAAGAAAATGGGAGGATACCATTTTTGGGACGGACTTGGTCATCCGAGACTTAGGTGTGCTGTAATATAGGTTCTCTCCCCTGCAGGAAAGAGCACCCTCGGTGCATAATTGGAGGGAATAGTAAATACGGTACCTAGCGGGAGAGAGAAATGCAACGACAGAAAGGCCACAGAAAGGTGTATGCGGGAAACGTGCTACCTGCCGATGTGGTATCTCTGTCTCCCCCCGGGCTTTAGAATAGTAATTATAAGCGCGATTCGAAAGAAAACAATAAACGAGGTGAGCGTGTGTGTATTTTTTTTGGGGGGGGCGGGTAGGGTATCGATATAACCACACGGCGCTTGCTTTCAAGCGTTAGCCGACTAAATCGCACGTGGGTGTAGCGCTTCAAAGTGCCTCTTACTGAGGGCTGCCTCTCGGGTCCATAGATCTGTACGAATGACTTGGTTGCAATACCACCCAAGCCAACCCAACACATATGAACCTTCGGTCCCGCATGTCAAGGCAACACCATGGGGGTATCGCGGTGGTTTACAGACAGATAACTAAAGCAATGCAACATGTAGGAATTATCACAAAATGGGCGGTGCATGCAAACATGGGGGCTGTTTTTGGACCTCGGCCTGTGCCCTCTACCCCCGCGCCCATAACGCACGCGGCAGGTGCGACAAACAACGCAACGGAGTCAGTCCGATGACACCAAAGCACAACACAACCTGGCAAATGAAAGGGCAATACGATCTACAATATATCGCGGGGATACCGTACCAAGAAGACTCGAAGCATAAACTATTGCAACGATGGGCCGCAACCAGCCCTCCTACCTCTGTGTATGCTAGTGGGGTAGTTTGACTTTATCCGTACCCCGTCCTCCGAAGTATAGCCGTAGGTGTTTCGCGACCGGAGGGGGGGGGGGGGGGGGGGGTTACATAGTGACTGTCGGGCGCTCATGTTCAACCCCCT